TGTAAGAGTGCTCCACAAGAGTGTCCTACAAGAGTGTCTCACAAGAGAGTGTCCCATAAGAGTGACCCACAAGAGTTTCCCACAAGAGTTTCCTGTAAGAGTGCTCCACAAGAGTTTCCTACAAGAGTGTCCCACAAGAGTTTCCTACAAGAGTGTCATTTGGACATATGTTTGCATTCGGGTTCGTGGGTTCCATCTTGTTGGATGTTTCGTGCCAAGACTTGATTTCTGAGACACTGACTGCCATTATCCAAATCCCTCCAAAGCTAGTCTGCAAGAAACACAATGTTTTTGAGCTGCGATGGAGGTCAGTCCGGAGACCAGACAGAACATGTGTTGCTGGCATGTTTGAACAGCAACCATATTCTTTCTTCAGAAGAGAGAAACAAGAAACTACTATATAGGTGGAGGCCATTGCTATTTTATTAGGTTGGAGGCCATCGCTACTTTGAAGCTTGTTCGTAAAGCTTTCTGCATGACCTGGCCAGATTTGCACCGAGGTGGTGACAATCAAGCTGGACTCGGACTTGCAGGCCAATCTAGCTGGCAGCAGTGCAGCAGTCTGCAAATGCATTGTTGGTCATGTCATGTTTGGCAATTCTTTTGATATTTTTTGATTTTACATTGTCCAAACACACACCCGGCAGCGAGGTGTCTGAATCACACAAATGAGAAGTGAAAACAATCAGCGCGTTTGTGTCCGCCCAGCAGTGGCAAGCGCATCTAAGCGTGCACTGCTTTCTTGAGTCTTGTGAGTTGATGAATGAAGCTTTCAAGCCATTTGGCCAAGTTGGGTGCGAAAGATGGTCAAATCAGCAGAAGCTGGGCAAATCTAATTGTCAAGCATACAGTTTTATCACCTTTGGCTCCGGTCTGGTGGAAATCATGGCGGTTGCGGGACTCCCAGCCTTGGATTGCAGATTGCCGTGGTAGTGATAGTGGTCTAGACTATTCTTTGCTTTACTGCCAAGGCAATCCACGGTCCTGACTGGAGCTTCGCCCGCGAGGTTACAGACCCAATCCCACAGCTGGCACAGCTTCGTCCAGAAGGTCCTTGGATTCCTTGGCCGCTGCCTTCAAGCAAGTCAATTGGCAGTTGCATGCACCTATGCTTTGCTTAAAAAAGCTCGCAATGCATAGTGACTTAAAATGCATCACTTTGCACAACATTGACGGAGTTTGAACGCAACTTGAAAAGATATTGAAAGCTGCACTTCGGTCGAGGCCGAATCATGCAGTGCAGCAAAGCCAGCCTCAGAAGCCAGCACCCAAGGTTGAAAGTTGACATTGCAGGTTACATGATTGAGAGATTGTGGGAGTTTTGCGGCTCCAAAGCAGAAAGGACATGCACAACGGTTGTAGGATAGTGTCATGCAAGCAGCGTTGGAAACAGTGCATGGGCAAATCCTAACCTAACGCTCACAGCACCATCACTAGATTTGACATATATATATATATAGTTTTGGGGCAGAACCAGAGTCAGGACACTATTTTTCATTGCATTCACAACATATTTCAAAGGTCATAAATCCATGATTCGCCGAAGACAGTTTGCGTCGCTGCTCCTAACGCTTGCTGTGGCTGTGCAGACAGCTCAGCTGGACTACACATAGCTTTGAGTTTCATGCCGTCGCAGCTTGTTGTTCTGCAGATTTCTGCTTCCAGCACAAGAAACTCTTGCATTGAATCTAAGGCTTTGCAGATCTCATCTTGAGTTTGTGACCGTCCCTGATGGTCCACGTGTCAGGCACCTCGTGATCCTTTGACAGAAAACCAATTTGTCTTTTGTTTCTCGCACAGTAGCAATTGTTTCAAAGGTCATAGTCTTTTTCTTTGCGCTTTTGCTTGACAGATATGTTGTCTTTTCTTCTGCAGTGTTAAAGTGGAGAATTGGAAGTTCGAAGTTGTCAACCATTGTTTCGGCTCTTCCCAGATTGTTCTTTCACCTTTTTCAGCTTAATGCTCCTTCTTCTACTTCATCATTCTGTTACAGGCGGAGACTGCTCCTTAATGTCGCTTCTTGGGCTCCAGCTGCCCCAATCTATGCAAGGGGTCAGGGTTCGCTCCTCAGAAGACTTTGCGATTTCATAATTTGCCTTTTTCAAAGCCCGGGGAAGGTGGCCAAGGAGAGGATCAGCGTTGCTCTTATCCTACTTGCGTCTTGAGGCTTGGATTTGAGCTTCCTTGATCCAAAGGCTCCTCCGGATGTTTCTGCACCCCCAAAGGATGCAGAGCTGCTCCCTAGTGTCTTGGCTGCGTAATCAGTCTACTGTAAAAGTGACTGTTTACAATCTTTGCAAACGTCACCGTTTGAAGGTGGCTTGGCAACCAAAATGCTCCTGCGGCCCACTTGCGCTTTGTCGAAATCCATACCGTTGACGAGACCAGGCTCAAATTGTGGCTTAGATTTGAAACTTTTGATGCAATCATGTTTCATTGTCGCGCCACTCCAAGTGAGAATCGCGAACGTCTCTGTCAAGCTCAAGGGGAGCGTGGGTGGGTGAGCCAGAGTTGATGTAACTCTGACCTGAAGGGGGGTAGGATTCGGATGTCTGGCTGGAGTAGTCGAGTTTGAGCAGAAGTTGCTCAGTCACATCCCTCTTATGGTTGAAAAGGCTCTTGATTGCGCATTGTTTCTAGGAAATTCATATACTTTTCCTAAACAGCCATGGGAAAGCAATGCCGTCTTACGAGATGTAATGGGTACTTCCGTTCTCCCTGTTGCGCCCGCGCTTCCTGCATATAGAAGCTTAGTTGTGCCCCTCCTTGCAAGAAACAGCGGTTGGATGCATTACCAACTGCAAAAAAGAGAATCATCAGTAGTTTCTCGGTAGAATCATCAGTAGTTTCTCGGTGTAGATCATTTGCTCAAGCATCCGAACACAGAGAGAGCAAGAGCGCGAAGCCACTTTGCCAGGTAAAATGCTTCTCAAATGGGTGGGTAGTGGTGATTCAGCTTTGCGTGTGCTGGAAGATCTCTTCAGGAAGAAAGCGACTTCGACGTTGAGAGCCAGAGTAGGTTCGCTGAGTATGTTTTTGGCATGGCATAAGCTGACTTGCGGTTTGTCCGACCCACGACTATGCATGCTTTTGTAGGAATGAAGGCAAGCCAGCGTCAAGGGTCGAGACCTTGCTTGGAACCTCGAAGAACATTGGTCACACGTTCAACATATCAGCTGCTCTGAAATCTGTCACCTTTTTTCTGGAGTGGAAGGGGCCAGTTTCGGCTTATAGTCTTGCGCAGAGGAGCTGTCACCTGCGATGTTGTGCGGTTTGGAAATCTCTTGCTTTGCTCGGGCAAACGCATGTGATACAATGGTGGCAGGTGTGCGCAAGGTCACCTGGACCTCTTGGTAGATGGCCCTTGGAGTTCCTTGAAGCCTGCAAGGAGTTAGGTTCTCAAGATAAAATGCTTTGTTTTTTGTGCTGGTGCCTAGCTATGCGACGGTCAACGGTACTCTTCCTCCGCGCTCTGCTGGCTTCCGGTTTTGCTGCTAGTGAGTTGGAACGGTCAGCAGTCACTCGCTCAAGGCCACGCTGCTGTCGTATGTGAACAGATGGGGAGCTACGCGAGGTCAGTGAACTCTGTGATGCCTTGAGTCATCCGGTCAGGCAACTCATGTCAACCGTGGCAGACCTTCACGACGGGAAGTTTTTCCCGACGCCTGCAGGGATTGGATCTTCCGTGAGTCGTCCGCGCAGGTTCCACTTGAGCGGCAGTTTCGCTTGGGGCTACAGTTGGTGAAGTAGCTGCGAAGATGCAGCAAGATGCGGTCTTCGGGAGCTCACAGCCGAAAAGATGGCCGCCGATGAAAGACTTGAAAGGCTAGCTGTTAACTCTTAGACATGGTGTCTCGCGAGCGGGCCTTGTGTCGCGGAGTGCCATTAGATGAATGGTCAACAGCTTGTGGGTGGGTCTTTGCCAGACACAACGTAAAGGTCGAGCTGACAAAGTTCAAGGTGAGCAACGCTCGAGCTTGTACAAAAGCGAAGCCATTGAGACGGCGCGCGGCAATGTCAGAGGAGGCTGGCAATTGGCGTGGAACTTGAGTGACCTGGTGAGGGAACACTGAGACGGGCGCGAGAAAATAGGGCGGGACTTGAACTTTGAAAGGCAGCTTGTCTACCGGAGCAGCGACATTCTTGACTCGCACTCTTTCTAATTTTTGATTTGGCCCCCTTGAAGTGGCGTTGGCTTTTGTGGTTTGAGTTTGTATTTGCGTTTGCGTGCTTGTTGCGAGCCACATTTTTGTTGGGGGTTGGTGGGTTGCGACATTTGCGCCATTATCAGCTTTTCACCAATGGAATGTGGCTCTGACTTCTCCAGACTTCAACTTTCGCAGTTGCCCTGCTGAAGGCTCCAAAACTATGTTGGCCCCCAACCATGTTGGCCCCAACCCCCTCTAACTGAAGGGTTTCTGAACAGTAGTTCCTGAAGCGCGCAGAGTTTCTGTAAGGCAGTTTCGGAAATGAAGCTTAATCCTAAGTTGCGCCTGAACTGCAGTGACCAGAGCTGCAGCTTTCGTTCTCATTGTGGGCGCTACGCCCTTCACCAATAGAAGTGGCGCCGCAAAGACCAACGCGCAAGTTGCAAGCACTTGCTCTTGGAGGGAATGGCCATTGACTTGAGACATCAATCATTCCTTGCCCAGAGCGTGAAGCTCTTAAACGCACACTGAGACTCCCAAAGCAAAAGCAAATGGCAGAGCAAGGAAACAAAAGTACAACTCCAAGATGTTTCAACATCAAAGGCGGTAGCCCTTTTTGTTTTTCAGACAAAATCATTCATGCGCGAACAGTGTGCCGCGAGCAGTCAAGCAAGTTACCCCTGATAGTGTGCACAAGGTCCGTACAAATTGACTAATGTCAGCTAAATTGTGACTGATTGCTAAGGAATCCAGACTGCGAAAGGCCACAAGCATATGACAAGGCCGTTGTCACTGCGGTGGCGTTGAGCTTTGGGAAAGCTTGGCGCAGCTAGCTCGAGTCACTTTGCCTTTGCAAGAGTGTATTCAGAGACGGATGTTGGTCCAACATCTGATTGATTATGTATATATCTAAATACATATATTCTAGCCCCCACCAAAACCCACCTTGGCCTTGGATGCATTCATTGGAAACATGGAAAACCAATTGAAGGCAATATTTTGATGAATGCCTTGAGGCTCGCGTTGCATTGGAAACATGGGTGTCCAAAACAATGGACAAGAAAACCCGATGTTCCCTGTCCAGCCTCTCCTCTGCCATGGATCTGATTATTTTTTGTGTTTCCCCGCCTTTTTTCAAGGTTTTGTGTGATCCGGGAATAGTCTTGCTTGATAGTACTTTATTCTCATTCGGTTCTAACTGAGTTCACATTCAATTCCAGCCGGGTGATAAACTAAACAAATCTAATTCAAGTCTAAATCACTTAGAAGTTGATTTAGAATTGAATTGAAAAGAATCAAATTATCATCTATTTCTAACTGATTTCGGTTTTAAGTCTAATTCAATTCTCATTGAAATTGTTTTACAAGTTTAACCTATTTCTAGAATCAACAGTGAAGTCACAAAAAAGATGTTGTAACTTTAATTCTAATTTAGTTCTATTGATCCCTAATTTTAATATTCATTTACGTCTAATTAAACTTCAATGTGAATTGTTAATTCGAATTTGACTTTGATTGAATTCTAATTTATATTTACGTTGAACCTGAAATTTACTTTTGCAATAATTTTGATTTAAGCCGAATTAGATTCTTAGTTGTTAATTTGATTCCAACTTAGTTCTACTGCAAATGCACTAATATTCTGAATTTTCGTGAAACTTAGATTCTAATTCAATGTCAATCTAACTCTAATCGGGCTGTGGGCTAAACATTTCCAATTCAGTTTTACTCTAAGTTCTAGTTCAGTTCTAATTTCACTGATGAAAGTGTTTGTTCAATTTAGTTAAGCCCAATTCATATTACAGTTATTTGTCATCAATGTTTAGTTTAATGCAAATTAAACCCTGTACAAGTCAACTTTAATTGCCTGTCAATTGCAGGTTGATTCTTTTTTGATTTCAAGTTTAATTTTGATTAATTCCAGTTCAATTTGTTCAATTTAATTCGATTCTAATTCTATGTAAACTTACCTTTGATTCAGTGCAAATTGAATTTTAATTAACTTCTGATTTCATTCTAGAGAGCGGGTGTTGCTGAGAGTAATTTTTGAGACAGTAAACTTTCAGAAACAAAGCAGAAGTAATATAAAAGCTTTCATTTTAAGAACAACGCGCACTGTCTAGAAGTAAATTTAGAGTTGCGTAAAAAGCCACAATTAGATTAGAAGAATAATAGAATTGTATTAGATCCAAATCTGCGTTGCATAGGAATTGGGTTGTAGATAAGTTATATAGATTAATTTAGAACTATTTTTATATGGAGTTGAATCAAAATCAAAGTAGAAGTAATTGATATTTGAGTCAGAGTCAAAATCGTATTGGCTATACAATACAATTAGATTTGAATTTGAATCAGTTAGAATTGAACTAGAAGTAGGTCATTTAGGATTTGCAACTCTTTGCCTTCTGGTTCTGATGTACTGACTGAACTGCGTTCAATAAGAGCAACGCAACTCAGAAGATGACTCTGAAAGCAAAGCCTTGCAAAATTACAACTTTCACAATTCCATGAATGTCATGTGATCAGCAAATAGAGCAAGCCCAGCAAACAGAATTGGCAGAAATGTCAAAAATGTGCACTCTCACAGCGTCCTGCTCTGCAGAACACTACACCCTGAGAGTGCATTTTTCATCGTACTCACGTACGTATACTAACAATTTTCAATGGCTGTATCATACATTCCTTTGCGACCGCTGACAGTTTCTGCTTGGCGCATCTGCAATGAGTGCGATGGTTATACATGATCATAAAATAGCTGATAAGCATACAAAACAAACATTGAAGGACCGGATAACCCCACATATGAATCTTTACGAATCTTAAGTTTCAAAAGCGCAAAGCAGTCAGAGTCTCAATAGCTTCTACAACACGGCCTTGTCAGGAAGTGATATCAGCTTCCGACAACAGAGGGGTGGGAGAGAAGGTGTAAGAGAGTGATGTGCGCGACGGATGTACGAGGTATTGTGCGCACAGGTGTGCGCAGCCACAACTAGCCAACAACACCAGCGGTTGTCGCACGTCCGCAATATGGGGCATAATGTACGAAAGTTGTACTACAAAGTCGCCAGTTCTCAGCTTCCAGCTCCACAGATTGCTCCGCGCACTAAAGTTGTACTACAAAGTCGCCAGTTCTAAGCTTCCAGCTCCCCAGCTACTCCGCGTACTACAGTTGTACTACCAAGTCGCCAGTTCTCATCTTCCCACTCCCCAGCTACTCCGCGTACTAAAGTTGTACTACCAAGTCGCCAGTTCTCATCTTCCAGCTCCCCAGCTACTCCGCATACTAAAGTTGTACTACAAAGTCGCCTGTTCTCAGCTTCCAGCTCCACAGATTGCTCCGCGTACTAAAGTTGTACTAGAAACTCGCCAGTTGCTCCGCGTGCTAAAGTTGGACTACAAAGTCAGCTTCCAGCTCCACAGCTACTCCGCGTACTAAAGTTGTACTACAAAGTCGCCAGTTCTCAGCTTCCAGCTCCCCAGCTACTCCGCGTACTACGGTTGTACTACAAAGTCGCCAGTTCTGAGCTTCCAGCTCCACGGATTGCTCCGCGTACTAAAGTTGTACTACAAAGTCGCCAGTTCTCAGCTTCCAGCTCCCCAGCTGCTCCGCGTACTACAGTTGTACTACCAAGTCGCCAGTTCTCATCTTCCAGCTCCCCAGCTAGTCCGCGTACTAAAGTTGTACTACAAAGTCACCAGTTCTCATCTTCCAACTCGCCAGATTCTCCACGTACTAAAGTTGTACTACAAAGTCGCCAGTTCTCATCTTCCCACTCCCCAGCTACTCCGCGTACTAAAGTTGTACTACAAAGTCGCCAGTTCTCATCTTCCAACTCGCCAGATACTCCGCGTACTAAAGTTGTACTACAAAGTCGCCAGTTCTCATCTTCCCACTCCTCAGCTACTCCGCGTACTAACGTTGTACTACCAAGTCGCCAGTTCTCATCTTCCAGCTCCCCAGCTACTCCGCGTACTAAAGTTGTACTACAAAGTCGCCAGTTCTCAGCTGCCAGCTCCACAGATTGCTCCGCGCACTAAAGTTGTACTACAAAGTCGCCAGTTCTCAGCTTCCAGCTCCACAGATTGCTCCGCGTACTAAAGTTGTACTAGAAACTCGCCAGTTCTCAGCTTCCAGCTCCACAGCTACTCCGCGTACTAAAGTTGTACTACAAAGTCGCCAGTTCTCAGCTTCCAGCTCCACAGATTGCTCCGCGTACAAAAGTTGTACTACAAAGTCGCCACAGCTACTCCGCGTACTACAGTTGTACTACAAAGTCGCCAGTTCTCAGCTTCCAGCTCCACGGATTGCTCCGCGTACTAAAGTTGTACTACAAAGTCGCCAGTTCTCAGCTTCCAACTCGCCAGATACTCCGCGTACTAAAGTTGTACTACAAAGTCGCCAGTTCTCATCTTCCCACTCCCCAGCTACTCCGCGTACGAACGTTGTACTACCAAGTCGCCAGTTCTCATCTTCCAGCTCCCCAGCTACTCCGCGTACTAAAGTTGTACTACAAAGTCGCCAGTTCTCAGCTTCCAGCTCCACAGATTGCTCCGCGTAATAAATTGTACTAGAAACTCGCCAGTTCTCAGCTTCCAGCTCCACAGCTACTCCGCGTACTAAAGTTGTACTACAAAGTCGCCAGTTCTCAGCTTCCAGCTCCACAGATTGCTCCGCGTACTAAAGTTGTACTACAAAGTCGCCACAGCTACTCCGCGTACTACAGTTGTACCACAAAGTCGCCAGTTCTCAGCTTCCAGCTCCACGGATTGCTCCGCGTACTAAAGTTGTACTACAAAGTCGCCAGTTCTCAGCTTCCAGCTCCCCGGCTGCTCCGCGTACAGTTGTACTACCAAGTCGCCAGTTCTCATCTTCCAGCTCCCCAGCTAGTCCGCGTACTAAAGTTGTACTACAAAGTCACCAGTTCTCATCTTCCACCTCGCCAGATACTCCGCGTACTAAAGATGTACTACAAAGTCGCCAGTTCTCATCTAACGGACCCAGTTCTCAACCACCAGACAACAGCCGACCACAGCCGACCACAGCCGACCAGAGCCGACCAGAGCCGACAACGCAACCACCAGACCCTCTAACGGAGCCAGATCTGTTGCAATTCCCAATACCACAGCGCCGCCGGCGACCGCAGCCGACCACAGCCGACCACACCCGACCCAGAGCCGACCAGAGCCGACAACGCAACCACCAGACCCTCTAACGGAGCCAGATCTATAGCAACTCCCAATAAGACAGCGCCGCGACCACAGCCGACCAGAGCCGACCAGAGCCGACAACGCAACCGCCAGACCCTCTAACGGAGCCAGATCTGTTGCAATTCCCACTAACACAGCGCCGCCGGCGACCGCAGCCGACCACAGCCGACCACAGCCGACCCAGAGCCGACCAGAGCCGACAACGCAAGCGCCAGACCCTCTAACGGAGCCAGATCTACTGCAATTCCCAATACGACAGCGCCGCCGGCGACCACAGCCGACCACAGCCGACCAGAGCCGACCAGAGCCGACAACGCAACCACCAGACCCTCTAACGGAGCCAGATCTATAGCAA